CTGCTCCTACTGCTATTTCTTGTTCCTCAGGGAGGAAAACCAACATGTGAACTTATCGTCATTGTTATCTCCTCCTTGGTTTATTTACATTTTAAAAAAATAACCAGAAGAGGTAAATTTTAAGGCATGAGCCACTATTGGCACAATAAAGAAAATACATTTTTGGGAAGGGTGGTTTTCTTCCCTACCCTCTTCAGTATGTTGCCCTGCCTCCCAATTTGACTGTGCTATTTACCACCTGTATGTCCTTCCCTACCACCCCACCCCCAATGTCCTCATTAGTACAATGAAAGAGCTGTAGGAAATATCTGAGGTCTCTTTAGCTCTACTATGAGTAGTTTGTATATATGAGTCTATGAAATCTCACCATAAAGGCAATCACTTATTTCACCTATGTTTCATGTTAGTTCTAGGGTAGGAAGTATAACAGAAGAGGACAATAAGGAGAGTCAGTAGTTTCCAGTCCCAGGTTTTACACAGTAATTGTGAAATGTGATGTAAATAATATCTGTGCCTAATCTCAACTGGATCCTCTGAGTTGTTTATAGGGGGCTTCTGAATATGAATGAGATAAGGAGGAGATATAAATGTTAAGTATTTATTCTTTGGCACACTTCAAATAGTTCAGCCTGCTTATCGTACTAGTTTTGACTGCATGATTCATAGGATTGTCCCCTAACCTACAATCACCATTCGTCATCATCAATTAATATTTCCAATATTGAGTGCCCAGGAGGTGAGCAGCCTTGTATAGGCACCAGGCAACCTGCCAGATTGTCATCAACACCGCACCCCGACTGGCGGTTCTGCTATTAAAAAATGCCACTGTTCAGAAAGCTACAGGAAGCGGTGACCCTTCGTCCACAAGATCAGGGACAAATTGATAATGGGTAGCCGGGGGTGCCCTTCTTTCATCCTGCACTCTGGGTGCGATGGGAAACAAGGCTGCCAAGAGATCCAGAAAATAATTTCACAATGCAGCCGCAAGAGGATCCTGTAGCCAAGGAAGAGAATTCCTGCCAAGCAAATCTGAATCTCCAGTCCTTCTCTCATGCTTTCCCTCCTCCTGCCAAACCCAGAGCCACCCACGCTGGTGCGTTCGGGACATTCCAGATCTAGGGCAGCACACCTCCTCCATGCAGGCAGATGTTGGTTCGGGAATTACGTACCTGGGCTCTGCTTTGGGGCAAAATTCAGAGCATATATATATCGTGGGAGAAGTGTTCTTTGCAGAGTTAGATTTCAAAAAAATTAAAGAGTATGCAAGTCAGTGCGTGAGGATGTCTGTATATTGTATCTGTACAAGAGTGTATAATGCTTCTACTATCCCCCCCCATTCTGATTAAATACTGCATCTGTGATTAGTTCCACAGTAATTAAAAAGAACTTGAAGTCCCACTCATTTTTCCTGTCACAGAGTTAGACTCAGGACTCAGTGTAAAGCAGTCACTCGCTCATTAACGTTACCTGAGGCCTTGCAGTTTCTCCCCGAATGAAGGTGGGGGTGGGGAGAATGCTCAGGAAGAGGAAAAGAAATCACAGCTGCGCATGCTCGAGAGAAAAAAATACAGCTGGTCAAGGCAGACAATGAATCAAAACCTGACGGCTTCTGTTTTGACACTTCTTGACTGTCACACTGATGTCGCTAGAGGAGCTTAGTTAGGATCTCTCTATAATTCTTGAATTATTTTCCCAACCTCAAAACTGGCAGGGAATATTCATTCCTATGCAGCTGACCAGGTTAGTATGGAAAACTAGAAAATCACTTTCCCATCTTCTGTAAAGGAACTATGATTTTGAAGAGCTCTTGGGGGAGGGGACTCTAAGATGTATGAATTGTACACGAATCAGTTGCAATGGGGGGGGGTTGGGAATCAAGCCACCATGATTAGCTGAATTAATGAAATTTGTACAAGAAAAATGCGTCGTCAGCCCCCACCTAATTGTCAATATGAAGAATTAGATCAAAGTAATTACATCAGTTTCCTACTGACTCAGCATTCGAAAAGCTTAACATTTCACATAATCAACATTTAAGAACCTGCGGTATACAAAGAATTTAGATAGCCGTTTTAGGGACTCAAAACAAAGCCCTGCTTTCAAGGAGTTTATTTTCTATGGATTTTGGGGAGGGGATATAAGCAAACAGATGTGTTAAATACAAGTTGAGTAACAAGGTAATCAGGACAGTCTTATCTTCTAAGATGACATCTGAATTGAGCTGAGAAAGAAGCTCAAGATTCATTAGACATGAAGAGCTAGAGTATAACACTTGAGACTTCTCTTGCATGAAGTGAGTTGCCCAGGGTCACACAGGTCTCTGAATCTGGAAGAGGAGTCTTCCTAACTCCAGGGTCTTCACTCTAAGGACTGCACAATCTAGCTGTACCAAAAGCAAATCACTTAACCCTCTTGGCCTCAGTTTCCTCATCTGTAAAATGAGCTGGAGAAGGAATGGCAAACCACGCCAGTATCTCTGCCAATAAAACTCCAAATGGGGTAACAAAGAGTCAGACACAACTGAAAATGACTGAACAACAACAAAAAAGCATATATATAATATATATAATATATAGATTTATATACACACAGATATACATATATGTGTGTATAATGTGCATATTTATATATGTGTATGTATTATATATATACATATACATATAGCATATACCATAGGAGGCAGAAAGTAGTGTGTGTATGTGTGTGTAAAATGAGGAAATGTTTGGAGGAGGGAGCAAGCATCAGTGCATTAGAGGTTAACAACTCCATCCATTTGACTAGAGCACAAAGCAGCATAAGACCCTTTAAATAAAAATGTCAGGTTTCATTTTTACATTGTTCTTGTTTAGAATATTACTGCAGAATAATTCAGGGGCAAAGCAAAAGGAAAATAGTACTTCAGTCTTTCAACTTGAACATTTTTTTCAATTCTTTCAAATTTAAATTCCCTTTCAGGAAGATGTGGACAGTGTTTTTAGAGTGGGAGTGTTACACATTTTCACCCCATACAGTTCTATGGAGAGTAGTGTCTTAAATTCAAGGCATCAAAGAATTATGTATTTACCAGAGCTTTAATTCCAAGATCATAATAAAGTTAAAGGCTTTACTACTCTAGTAGTAATTGGAGAACAGTAACTTTCTGATGTCATCGAAACAGCTTGGTAAAACTCAATGTCCTGTCTTTATATATAGAGCTACATTTTAGTCTGTGAGTGATTAGTACCTTCCGTCTTAATAAACAGCACAGAAAATGTCTTAAGAATTATCTTTCTTTTTGTTTTTAACCACCAAATTCATCTTTTAGATATGCTCCCTCCGTTTCTGTGTCTCTCCTTTCTCATTTCCTTGCTAGCCTTCCTTTAATATTCATCCCCAAGGCCGAATGATCCTATTTCCTGAAATATACATTCATCTTCCTTTTATCTAAGGCACATATTTTAGGTTGTCTTCCTAAAACACTTCTTAAAGACCCTTTTATAAAATTGTGGGGCCATTCCAGTTACTTGAGCAAAAGGTAGAATATTAGTTTTCTATATAAAGAGTCAATCAGACCTAGGGAGAATTTTGAGAGATGTGTCACTAATCCCTGCTGCCTCCGCTGTCAGCAAATCATCACTTTGGGTGCATACCGAACAAACTGTGTTACTAGAAAAGAAGATATTTGCAAACAGAGAAGAGACAGCTAACTACACTGGGATGAAAGGGGGGTTGGGGTGTTAGGGAAGAGAGCCTAGTTGATGCTTATTTTATCATCAAGGTGTGGTAGACAAGGAGGAACACACAGGTAAACCAGGCGTTTCATCTGGAGGAGGCAAACTGGATAAATTTCAAAATAGTATTTATTAATGAAGATGGCAGTTGAGGGATGTGGTAAAGAAAAGTGAGGGGGAAACACAGGAGAATAGGCATGGAAGATGTGAAGAAATGTCACCATCGTAGACATTTCAGTGACAAAGTAATAAGAAAAACAAATCCACTCTGGCATATTAGCTTTTCAGGAGAAAGTAACAGCCCTCCTTGGAGGAGGGCCCCTCTTTTTCTTCCCCACTGATCCCCAGTTCTCCTCTTCCTGCTACATCCTCCGTCCTCCTCCACGTCTAGCCCCGCATCAAACTCGAAACGCTGGAGCCAGATCTGCACATCAAGAGGGAGGTTTACTTTAGTGACATTAACCGACCTCCCTTCTCACCCATGTGCTCAAATCATTCACTGCACCGGTGCCCGCCTCAGGGGGGATTATGAATGAGCAGCCGGCAACCACTTCTTTCAAGAATCTCTTGGAGCTGAGAGCTGATTCTGTCTCCCGGGTCGCTTAGGATGGTACCAACCTGGTGAACCCGGCAATCGAGGCTGCTGCCTTCCTTCCCTAGGAGACAGACACATTAATACTGATTGAATCGCAGTGGGGGAGGTGTCTATATTTTGGTTTGGGAGCGTCGCTTGCTGAACAGAAGTCTTTTTATTTTCATTTTAAGTGTGTGTGTGTGTGTGTGTGGTGTGTGTGTGTGTGGTGTGTGTGTGTGTGCGCGCGCGCGCGTGCGCGCGTGCCTGTTAGCGTCCTCACTTCTAAAGGCAAGTCCGCCGGCAGCAGTTCCACTCCTTCAGGGAATACCTGTTGGCCCGGGCTCCGAGCCAAGGTGCTACTGGGGACTCGGATGCGCGTGGGTCTGTGGGGGGCTCCCGTCGCTGATTTTGGATTCTAGTGCCTTGCTGCTGTTAGCACCGCAGCCTCTGCTGCCGTCTTCTCTTCGGCTCCCGCAGTCCCAGCTGCTTCTCCTGCCGGGCGGAGAACAGGTGCCTCACCTAGGGGCTCGGCGCCCAGTTGCCCAGCTCCCGGGAGCCTCGGGAGTCTTCCTGGGGCTCGGATCTGGGATCAGAGTTCATGCCCCGCAGACAAACAGAAACGGCTTTGCATACAATTGACTGACTGTTGGGGGGCAGTGGGGAAGCGAGAGAAGCAGAGGGGGTGGGGGGCGGGGAGGGCTGGAAGGAAAGGGCGGAAGCCTCAGGAGACCCTTCACACCTGTCAGATCCAAGGAAGCCCTGTCTACACTTGTGTCGGGAAAGCTGAGTCCTGGTTTTGTCAAGCAAGGTGAAGAGAGCTGCAGAGAGGAAATAGGGGGTGTGCACAGGCTCCCCGCAACAACGGACTCACTTCACCTCTTTCTCCTCACTCCTATTATCACCTCGCTGCTCCTCTCCTTGTCTATCTCTCTGTTCAGGACTATTCTGCCGCATTTCTCGCACCCAGCTCCATCTACCTGGAAAGCACCGCTTCTTAAACCATGGCCCCTAAGCTGCTGGTGCTCTTCTGTCTCCTCTCTGGGCTCCATGCACGGTAAGCCTGCGCCGGGAGACTCGTTTAGGGCTTTCCAGAGGGTGATCTTTTCCAGGCAGGGGGAATCAATGGTGAAAGGATTATCCCTAGAAGGAGGGTTGGGGCAGGGGGTAGTCGTGGAACCCAGAGGGAAACCCTGACTGGAATCCCCGGCTCTGCTGTCCCACATTAGTGGTTTTTGTCGGTCTTGTCTGGTCTTCGGCTTAGCATTGTAAGCTTGCTTGCTGACTGTAAATGTAAGGAGATCAAATCTCCACTTTGAAAAGAATAAAAAAAATCTTTTCACCACCCCATCACTCCTTTTCCAGCTCGGTTCCTTCCTCCCCAAGGGAGTCAACTCCAACCTTGACCCACAATGTTTCTGACTTCTGGATTACTTGACTCTTCCAAAAATGGAGAAGGGATTTTGGGGTTTGAGCAGCCCAAGATTAATTGGCAGCAAGTACTTGGTTTCTCCTCCCAGAAGTCGGAAGGAAAAGTCTGTTGCTGTCCCCCAAATTCTCTCCTAATCTCTGGATATATCGGTTGCTGCGAAATTGTGTTGCCATCCCAGAGGTGGGGGGGGGAATGGATTGAGAATTCGGTCCTAATTTGAATGTAGGGGAAAGGAGAGACACAACTGAGAGTCAACCTTTTTCCGAGGTGTTTCCGTTTGTCCCCAGATACACTCCACACACTTCCCTCAGACACCTTTGCTTCCCCTTTCGCTATTCTGGGAGGAACGCTATTTCATTTGCCAAGGCAGGGATGAGGTTCCAAGTGTAGGCATCTCCTGAGTCTATAGAACTGTGTGCCCTGATCTAACTATACTAAAAAGCTAACTAAATTAGAAGTGAATTCTTCCCAATAAACTGGAGAGTGGCAGAAGGGTTAAACTCAGGCTGCAGTCATTCCAACAGATTTGGTTATAAATCAGCAAAAAAAAAAAGGTGTTGCTTCTGCCACAGGTGGGGTCAGCACAGCAGGGCAACCTTTTTATGACCTGAGAGGGGGGAGGGGTGTTTTCTTCACTGTGACTTCTGTGAATAGTCCAATGCTTAATTATTTGGCTAGAGTTCCTGATGGTAGAGCCACCTTTAGGATGCAATTTCACAGCCAAACGTGGAGATGTTAGAAGCTCTCTCCCAGAAAATATTTCTGTCTAGCTAGCCTCCATACCGTGTATATGTTTAAATTGTCACATTCTGAAATTCTGAGTTTCATTTGGAGAAATGGAGTAACTTAAAAAAAAACACTAAAGAATATACCCTTTCATTGGCAGAAACTGATTCCTATTATTCTTTAATTCCTATCTATAAAATTTTAATATATAAGGATTCTAACATTATTTAAAAACAGACAAAAAACTCAATAGCACTAAAGTTGTTGACTGTATCTACCACAGGAACTGAAGATTTAGTTCTCCCAAAAGAAAAAAAATCCCAATTTCCCTTTCTTCCCAGAAGTCCAGGTGTAATATCAACTTCATATGTTTTTCCTAAAAAGGAATATTCAACCAGTGACTCATAGGAAACTTTATCATTGAGACATATGTCTCTTTTCTGGCTTTCAACTAACGCCAAGAGATGGCTGTGAAGGAAGGGAAAAGAGTCTGAAACTTTATATCAGCATGTGCTTTTGTGGAGGCAGAGACAGGGAGACAGACAGATATTTGCATGTTATATTTTCAATCTGAGATTCTGAAGTAAAATCTAGTTGGAAACTATATTTAGGTTGATTCTTCTGTGATTCTGATGTAATTTATATTGAATGTTGTACTCATGGAATTCATTATATTGAATATTGTATTTTCCCATGTTTTCCGTGTTCTTTGGAGGTATACAGTGCTTCTACGCTCTCTTTTCAGTAAATAGTCACCTGGTTTTATGAGTTCAGTAATGAGGATATTCCCTCCTGGGAAAATGATCACCATTTACCCATCTTATAGGGATCTTTTCCATGTCTTCCTATAAATTCACCACTGAGGGTAGGGAAAAGGGAGAGTTCTACCTTGAGGAGGCATTTCCTCAATTTCTGCCTACACCCTGAGGAAAAGACTGGAAAATACAGGCTATTATCTCTGCCTCCTCCTATAAAAACTTTCCCCAACACTTTCTCTACCCATAGATCTGACTTAAACCATGGATTCCATGGATCTTTCCATATTACCACCCTTCTAAGATAATCAACCTGTTTACTATAACATTTACTTGACTAAGTTTTGTATAGATTCCTTGGATAAGACCATTAAAATAAAGGTCCTATATAGAAAAAACAATTTTCATTTTTGTCTGATTCAAAGCTGAGCTTTCAAGTGTTTCCATGTGTTTTAGTAAAACATCATGTTACATTGCATATGAGGAAGGGAAGGAATTTTACCCAAGGTCCTGTAGTTAAGGCTTTGTTCTTCCACTTGAGTCTCATGTGTTAGTCTTAGGTTTATGCTTTACATCATATCAGAATGATTAACACTTCATGTATTCCTCTTGGAAGTGATTTACAGTCTTTTGGAATTAGTATAATACACAAATAAAAGCATCTGACATTTACATTCTCTTTTATAACTGTTATCACACCAGTCCGCTTCTTTTTCACACTTCCCAGTAGCCACTTCGGAATACTTGTCTCTCTAGAAATTTCCTGGAAAAGATGTCTACAATTGTAGTTTTCTGCATTCGTACCTTGGTACTGGGGGGGGGAAGATGGACCCCTGACATCTTGACTTAAAGTAACTTGACTATTATAAAAGAAATAACCACGATCTCAAAAACTTTGGTTATAGTTCAGAAAAGCCAAGACTTGATCTGCTTTTGAAGGCTTTTTTTTTGTTTTCAGAAATGATGCTTCATGGTTATCTGTGTCTGGCAGCTGATGTAAGATATTAGAACAAATTCTATGTTAAATAGTCAACTGATGATGATAGCATATCACTGATTTTTAATCATTTACTTACTTTTAAGACCATAGATTACACAGATGATTTTTAGTAGTCAATAAGACAAGTAATAAAATGTAACTTAAGAATGTACATAGCCTACTTGATTGTAATTAATAGGTTACTTAATTTCCTTGCTTTTACTACCCTATGGCCACCAACAGCCATCCTTTGTAATTTCTAGCAAAAGTTTACTAGAGCAAGATGTAATATTAAATCCTAGGAGTAGATAGCAAGAAAATTTTCTCCCCTGCTCCTGGCAAAGCCCAACTCAGAGAACCTGGTAAATGCATCACAGAGATGCCTTCCAGGGAACACATTTTCTTTACCTATATTTCATCCCCTAGTTTCTTCCCTCCTACCAACCTCAGTCTCCCCTCAAGGGGAGAGTGGTTACTTTGTCTTTGGATCAAACAGTTCTAAACCTCACCCTCTGAAAGAGTCAATGCAACTGCCTTGGGTAACTGGGACAGGGAGGGAAACAGATTTTATGGCAGGAAAATCAAGTACATGGACTGCCATCATGTAGAGCTATACCGATTCAATTACAATTCATCAATGTCATATAATAATTGTATATGTGATTATGGGTTTGGAAGGAAAGCATTATTCTTGTTTCTTTTCTACATTGCCTCAATTCTGTCTCTATCCTTTCCTAATACACACACCCATACCCCACACACAAATACAGACACTTAGAGAATAACTGTCCAAAGTTTTAAGATAACCTACTCCTCACTACCAGAGGGAGAATTAAGCTTACTATAATAAATACTATCTGAGTAGAATTTTTAAGAGATTAAAACCATATCTATATAATTTCTAAAAAGTCATAATAGAATATGTAACTATATACCCCATTAATCCCAAAGAGATAGTTAAAAATAAGTTTATTTTGACTAACATAAATTATACAGAGGCATGTTTTTGTTCACTGGTATAAATGAGGGAGAAGAGAGGAGAGAATTGGAGAGGGGAAGGGAAGACAAACAGAACTCCCATTCTTCCAGCCAAGACATGTTCTTGTCCTGTAATGCAATGGAAAGAGACTTGGCTTTGAAGGAAGTGAAGCTGGATTTAACCCTCACCTTGAATTCTGATTCTCCCTAAGTGATCTTGTCTAAGTCATCTAGCCTCTCTGGACATTAGTTTCTTCATTCATAAGGGTATTGGACTAGATCAGGGATGGGGAACCTGCAGCCTAGAGGCCATATGTGGCCTCTGTATTGTATTTTTAAAGCAAAATCAAAAGAAAATGGAGTTTTAGCTCTATATTTATATTCAAATACACACACACACACACACACACACATATATATAGACATACATGTGCATGCATATATGTACACTTTTTTTTATTAGACATGTGGTGTGACTTTTCAACACCAAGGTACTGATTCTAGAGATATGCACAGTTTAGTCTATTGTAATTGTGTTTATTAACAGATAACCAGCAAGGACAGTCATGTAAATACATATCTTGAGGTGAGAAAGCTATGAAATCTTCCATAGACAAAGTCTAAACAAAACCACACCAGACAACTATAACTCAACACAAATCCAACTGAGCCCCTGCTATTATTTCTAATGCCATGTTGTGTAAGGACAGCACACACACACACACACACACACACACACACACACACACACACACACACACACACACTTGTAGGTTCTGGGAAGGAAAAGAAAAATCACCTCCAAGTAAATAATATTTATTTTTTTCCATCTATTTGTACAGGTGGAAATCCACCTGAAAACACCCAGTTTAAGATGACAGCAAAATCTACTCCTTTTAAAGCTCTACATTATTAAATTTTAAATAGACCAGCACTCAGAAAATAAGCTATTTATGCTGAGATTGTTTTCCTTATGTACTTCGAGTCTTTCAACCTTTAGGAAGCCTTTTGAGACTCCAACCCCTAGTTATCAGTGATCTCTGCCCCCTTCACATTTTCTTGTATTTGGATTTGTGTATATGTTGCATCTCTGACTCACTTTTACTCTCTAGAAATTAAGCTCCTTCAGGAAAGGGATTATCTTAGTTTTGTCTTTTTGTCCACATTGCCTCACTTAGGGCCTGTCACTAAATAGTCAATTTATGAAACAGGCTGCATTGAGTTAGATTGAGTGGAATATGTATCCAGCTGGTTCACAGTACTAACAATGTATTCTGGAAGTGTAATAGAGTCTTCTTTTGAGGATATATTCATTTATTAATGGACCAAAATGATCAAAATGTATTAAAATTATTAAAATTTTAATATCCTTATTAGCCTGCTGTGCAAGAGATAAATCAGGTTGTGTGTTGGAAGGGCCAAGTAATGCTGCAGGAAGATTTTCACCTACCCAAGAACTCTCTTACAAGTTAGCTATTATGAAGAAGATTGGGAGGAGAAAAAAATGCCAATCCTATAACACAAGTATATCTGCATAAATTCTCTGATTTCAGTTGCAGGGAGAAGTAATGGAGTGAAACTGTTTACCCAATTATTTTCAATTGGTAAAGCCTGAGCAGACTATTCTTAGCTTCAGCAATAAATGTTGTCTTTGGGGGAAAAACAATGAAAATTGTAGCTGAGAAAACCTACAAAATACTCCTAGAAATGGTTATTCCTCCAGAACTCACTTCAGTCAGTTTGAATTCTCAAACATTGGCTTTCAACGTGTGGTTCAGAAAAATACTGGTGGTCAGTAATCCTAAAGTGTTCTATGGGCTGGCTGTTTTAGTGGTTATCTTTAAAACATGATTTCTCCAATAGTTCTGTTCTGGTCAAGTGTTCATTATTTACATATAATAATTCACTAAAAGGAGACAGAAACATAAGCAATCCCATTCTTCTGATCTCTCCTGTGAAGTCCTCCCTCCCTCTTTGACTGGAAAGCAGCAGCTGGTGGTTCTCTTCTCTCATTTCTTCTACCTATCCTCTCAAATAGCTCACAGGCTAGAAAATGTAAGACCTATTAACAGGAAAGGAAACAGCTATTATTTTATTTATTTATTTAAATGCCTCACTTATATTTTCATTACAGGTCCAGAAAGATTGAAGATGATGAATATGAAGATCTATCTTATAACCAAAAGTGGGTCCTGGCTCCAAAAACTCAAGACACTGATGTGACTCTTATACTCAACAAGTTGCTAAGAGAATACGACAAAAAGCTGAGGCCAGATATTGGATGTGAGTTGTTGTTATTTGTTATTCAAATAGAACAGGACATTGCAAGTAGGGTGCTTTAGAAAAAATCCCAAGAGATATTTCAAAATATGCTTTCTAATATGGAGTGAGTTGATTTGGCCACATGGCATAACTTTTTGTAAGAATATATTTTATTAATATATTTTGCTTTTATAATTTTTCTGATATCCCCCTTCTCCTTTCAGAAAGGCCTCCCTCACAGCAAAGACTTTTTTTAAAGTGTAATAAGTAAAAAAGATCACCAAAAAAGTCTATTAAATGTAATATTGCACACCTTTGGACCTCCCACCTCTGAAAGGAGTAGGTGAAGTTAGCTTCCAATATCTCTTTTTTGGTACCAGGCATAAATTTTATCATTTCAAGACATTGAATTAGTTTTATTTTGTTATGGTTTCCACTTGCATTGTTGTAGTAATTGTTTACATTCTTTTCTTGGCTCTTCTTACTTCACTTTCAATCAATTCATGTAAATCTTATGGTATAACTTTTCACCTGGAGATAGGGTGGCATGAATAACTGAAAGTCTTCACTGTCTTCACTGATGATAAAAAAAAAAGTACATAAGAACAGTAGGGGACTAATTTCCGAAGGAAGTCAACACCCAAACCATGTCTTCCCTGCCCTTGGCTTATCATGTTCAACTTGAGATGGGCCCTTGTAGCACAAAAGCTACTACAAGGGTTGTTTGTATAAAGACAGGAATGCACACTGCTAGACAGAACAGTAGAAGGAACAATAAAATAGAAAAGTGATTTCTAGTTGTGGCTCTCTAACTACTTGCATAACCTTGTTCAAATTACTGGACTTCATGTTTCTGTTTCATTATCTGCAAAATGAGATGGTTAGATTAGACAGTTCCTAAGTTATCTTCTAGCCTATGATATTTTAGCCTTATGGTATTCTAGCCTTTACCTCTTATTATGAATATTTACCTAGTTCACAGAATTCTGGCAGGGAGTAAACAAAATAAAGTACTTTGCAAAACTTAAGATGCTATATTATGTGACATATTGTATATTGTGATGGTAATGGTGATGGTGATGATGATGATGATGAAGATAATTTAGTGTCAGAAACAACTCTACTTTTGTACAAGGTCCATGATTCTGGTGGAGTGCTTAGAGCTTGATTTAATATCAGAGATGCTAAGGTCATCTACTTTACACTGGATCATTGCCAGTCATCTTGACTTCTAACTTCTATGACTCTGGAACAAAGAATGAGGCAATGACTTTGTGCAACTCTACCTCACTTAAATCCAAATCACAAGTGAGTCAAGACATCACCCCACGATGTCCTTGGTCTTCTTCAAAAGGAAGGCTGAAGTACAACAACAATAAAATTTGGCCATTATTAGTACTGATGAAAGGGTAACTAGGTGGTGTACTGGTGGTGCACCAGGCCCAGAGTCAGGAAGATCTGAATTCAAAGTCAGCCTCAGACACTAACTGTGTGACTTTGAGCTGGAGAAGGAAATGGCGAACTGCTCCAGGATCTTTGTCAAGAAAACCCCAAATAAGGGCAGCTAGGTGGCACAGAGTGCCAGCCCTGAAGTCAGGAGGACCTGAGTTCAAATCCAGCCTCAGACCAAACACTTGACACTTACTAGCTGTGTGTCCCCAGGCAAGTCACTTAACCCCAATTGTCTAAACAAAAAAGAAAAGAAAAGAAAGCCCCAAATGAAGAGTTGGACGCTACTGAAATGATTGAACAACAATAGTATTGATGAAACAAAAAGGAAGCAATTTCCTAGAATAGTTTATATAAAAGGATATTGATTAGACCAAGTTGAGCAACCTTTCTTCACTTCTGTGGAGGGAAATAAATTAGAGCATGGAATAAAGATGGAGCACAGAGATTTAAGTGAAATTCAAAAGGGAATTCCATTAAAGGGTATAACAGTGGGGAAGATCAGAAATCTTCTGTAGAATTTATTTTTAAATAGTGGGTAACTATTGATTTGGAATGATATAGTAATCCTTTCCAGAGGCAAGGGAAGATGGTGTAGATTACTTTTTTGTGATCCGTTCCAAACCTTGTTCCACAAAATATTTTACTTAATGAGTTAAAAATTGAAGGGATTCCCTGGATAATACAAAGCCAAATATTCTTTTGCCTCAATTCTGTTGACATTCCATGTAAATGATTACTATGATGTGATTTATCTGGATTATTTGTCCTAATGCTCAGTTTCTCTTTGTTGTTATACACCATAAGTCTATAACAGAGACTTAATGTAGATATTTTGGAAGTGAGGCAAATTCCAGGACAATTAACTTTTCTATATATAAGAAAATGAAACTCATCTTTCTCCCAAATATAAACAACAAACAAAGAAAGTATACAGGAAAGTTGTATAATTAGACGTAGTTTTCAGTCTTATAGTTTCACCTTATATATAGTCCCATTCTTGGCTGACAGGGTAATCTGATTAAAGTCTATTATGACTTTGGTGCCAATGACTCATATGTCTGCCTAATTTATATTGAGAGTACCCATTATCTACCTCTTCCAGGATGTGGCTATAACATATCTTCATTTAAGATTAAAAAGCCAATAGCACAGTAAATTGCTTTACTAGAAGAAGACACTACTTTGTCTCATTACTTTTGTTATGTGGTAAGGAGTTAGGGGTAGGTGATGTTGCTTTGTCAAAGTCTTCCCTGCCAAATAGTAAGATCTATCTTCTTTTCGTAACGGTGTTTTAAATCTAACCCAGTTTGTCTTTGGTGATAGTCCTCTATACCACTTTAAATTTTGCTGGCAGTATGACTTACTCAAAGAAAGTTGGTCTGTTTTCCAGTGACAGTTCCCACAGTTCCTAGGATCCTAGCTCTGGAGCTGAAAGTCGCCTTAGAGATGATCTAGTATATCCCTCCTCCTTTTACAGATGAGGCAACAGTCCCAGAGAAGTTAAATGACTTTCTCTAGTTCACAAAGGTAGTAAGTGGCAGAGTTGGGACTTGAAGCTAGGCCCTTGGACTCCAAGCCCAGTAGTCTTCCTGATTTATCATGTTGTCTTAGTGACTATAGGGGTGGCTAGATGGTGCAGTGGGTAGACTGCTGGGCCTAGAGTCAGGAAGTCTCCTCTTCCTTAGTTCAAATCCAGCCTCAGACAAGGAAATGGCAAACCACTTCAGTATCTTTACCAAGAAAACCCCAAAAGGGGTCACGAAGAATTGGACATGACTGAAAAATGACTAAACATCATCATCATCATCATCATCATGACTATAAATGTGCCTTATCCAAATTGTCATCCTCACAAATATGTGACCCAGCTCTTCGAAGCTGCTGAGATTCACCAGAGAAATATAAAATGTCACATTACTGTTGTTGTTGACACTAAGGAGAACGAAATGGAAAACACATTTATGGTGTGTGGAGATAATGTATTCACATGAAATCCACTAATGAGTTTTCATACTATGAATTGTGATCATAATATTTGTGAAGTACTGGATATTTTCCCCTTGTCATCTACTCTCAAATAACTTCTCCATTATGTATGTATCTGTTTTTACTGTAAAGTTTTTAACTATCCATCATCCCAAGTCATACTTCAGATGTGTCCTTTACGAGTTCAGGGTTATGTAGGCTATCATCTATCTTGGAAAGAGATCTTGTCATGTGCGCTGAATGAGGCTAGAGGAGGATAAAGCTTCTAATAGAGAATTTGAGAGCTAAGCAAAATTAAGAGCTTTTTCTTTTTCCTTTAAGGGTTTTAAGAGATTTGAATGTATTTCCTAGAGATATACACATACCCTGCATAGAATTTGCCCTCAAGATGTGGTGTTTCTCAAAACATCATCAATATATTATAAAAAAAATTCCTACTATAACGCTATGAAGCCCTTTGGTCCAGTTAATTATCCATTTTCTGCATTATTCCTTTGGTTCTAAGCAACTGCCTCCTAATCCCCATAATTTGTTTTGCCTAATGCAATGTTTTCATAGAAAAAGCTAATGACTTCAGGTAAAGTGTTCCTATAAAACATAAGAATGCATATTCCTTTATCTGAACAATCTATTGTTGAGAAAATTATGATCGAACTAAAGTCAAAGGTTAGTATAGACATTTGAAGATGAAATTCTGTGTTGAAGTACTAGGCCTAGAGTCAGGAAATATGATCTCAGATCTTTACTAGCTGAGTGACCCTGGGCAAGTCACTTTAATTTTGTTTGCCTTAGGTTCCTCATCTGCATAATGAAAATAATAATAATAGCACCTACCTTTCAGGGTTTTTGTGAGGTTCAAATGTGAGAATAATTGTAAAGTGTTTACCAAAATGTCTGACATGTTAAGCAATATAAACTTAATTGTTGCTGTTGTTATTATTATTTGTCATGAAAACAACCCCTGGATATATTTGATTCAGCACATTAAATATATAACTATATCATTCATGCTCTATGTTTTTAGAAACATACATAGTCACTAAAGAGTACGATTTCCATCCCCTTTCCTTAGAGAGAAGGTCCAGAGAAGTCTCTGTTCTCCTTATTCTTGATTTGCTATGGTATCAACTCCCAGATTAATGAATTCAACCCAATTCAGTTTAATTCAACTGGCACAGATTAAGTATTTAGTATGTTCAAGGCATTTGGAGCACAAAGTAGAAAAATAACATAGTCTTACAGTCATAACTTTAAAGTCATCCAGTCCAATCACCTTATCTTGTAACTCCAGAGAGGTTGTGACTTTGCCAAGTTCATACACATGACAACTTACAGAACTGGAATTTGAACCCAAGTTTTCTATCTCAAAATTTGCTCTTCCTTCTATTGTACTATCCCTATATTCAAGGAACTTAAATCTGAATAGAAGGATTAACCATGTTCACTGTTAAAAGGATATGAGGCAGAATGCAATAAGGAAAATAGAGAGACCTTAACAAAATGTTATGATAAATAAATGCACATCTGGCCTTTGCCATTTACCATGTGACCTTGGGTAAATTACTTAATCTCTATGTATCTCA